ATTTCTTAGGAAGGAGGTGTCATGGCTTGGTGATAAAGCATCTGCTTGGCATGCAGAAGGTCCCAGGTTCAATCCCCAGCATCTCCAGTTTAAAAGGACCAAGCAGTAGGTGATGTGAAGGTGCCTGAGACCCTCAAGAGCTTCTGCCAGTCTGAGTAGACAATACTGACTTCAATGGACCAAGGAGTCTGATTCAGCTTCATTTGAAGTAAAGGAGTGCATTTGAGAACAAATTGGGGGGGGGGGGGTGTCTTGGTTTAACCTATACCTTTTCACTGATGACCCCAACTACTCTGAATCAAGCTCTATCCCAGCCACTCTTGGCTATGCCAGTGCAGGAGCTTATGACAGTGATGACTGACACCGAGATTCGAAGTCTGGCTAATAGCCTGTTAGTTGCAATAATCTCAAAACACAGAACTTGCAAAATGTTGTGATTGCTTCACAACCATCATTTTGGAAAAAACACTACATGAATAATATGGGGAAGGGGGCATTTCAGACGGATTAAACAGCATTGTATGCCACGAATATAATTTGACGAAAGGTTGTGTAAAACTGTACAAAATAGCTAGCAGAACACACATTTAGACTGGAAACTGATGAGTGCATTATTAGTATGCCGGAGGATATGAAGAAGCAGATTTAGCTTGCTTCATTTTATGGGCTATAATGGGCATGAAACTATAATCCCATACCGTTCATCCTTACACTCCGAGAAGCGTTTTATGATGCAAACTGATCCCTGTATTCAAGTACATATTACTAACTGGCTAGTACTGATGTTACTTTCTGGTTCACAGAACTTCAAAAGATGGACTGCCAATTATTTCACATTACTGGGAATTGTGATCATGTACCGACAAGTGGATAAAAAAACAACACCCTGCAAGCTCTTTCACATCTTTCTTCAGCTACCAAATATGGAGGTCCAGAATAGTGTGATGAGAAGCAGCAATTTCTCTAATAAGACTCGGCTCAGTTCTCTTAATAAGTCCCTTTTTACAGCCTCTTGAGACTTCCTTAAGAATAAACTTGCTCATAATGGCAGTCAGAAGTCATAAATTGTGATACAAAATGATGCAAGGACAATGAGCGTTCTCAGTGAAAATATGCAAAAAAAAAACCCATGGCTTCCACAGGAAAGGAAATTTAACCTTCTGTCCCTTCCACAAAACAAATGTCACCAGAGAAATATTTATTGCATGAAGATAGAAGGTTAGTGGTTTGATGTCACTGACAGAGTTACCACCACAGTTTATATTACTGGTAGTAAAATGAACTCTTTTGCTATACCTAAATGTTATCTTTGAACACGCAGAACAAACCTGGTTAGAGTAGATGTACAAATTATGCTTATTGGCATCATGCAAATATGCCAGTCAGGGAGCCTGTTAAATTGCTGGTTTCCAAAATGTGCTAATCAAATCCAGTCAGGTTTTAATGGACTGCAAACAAGATACTCACCACATTTCCTCTCCCACTACCAAGCTGCCAAATTCTCATAAGACAGCCCCCTACTGGATCATTCCAAGAGTCCATCAAGGCCATTATGTTTCCAACAATAACCAGCCAGATGCTTCTAACAAAACACACACACACTTGTGGTATACTGCCTCTGATCATGGAGGTCCCATTCAGCTACCATGGCTAATAGCTATTGACAGACCTATCTTCCATAAATTTGCCTTATTCCTAATGACGGTCATCATCATTTCCTCTCCTAGACAATTCCATAAATTAAGTTATGCAGATCTTCTGTCTGTCCAATCAGGTATAGCAGTTGACCCTAATCGCTAGTATTATGGGTAGGGAGGGGGAAAAACCCCTCTCCATCCACATTCTCCGCAAGATTCATTATTCTGTCTAAATAATATGGCCTCCAGTCAATTAATACTTTATATGTAGTGAAAAGATCCAGGTCTTGATAATTTTGTTTGAACTTAGTTCAAGTATACAGCATCCTTTTTAAGACAGAGAAACTAGGAATTGTACATGAATCCCAAAGGGATTTTTTTTAATAAAGGATTTTAATACTCCTTGTTTTATTTTCAGTCTTCTTCCTGATAATAAGAGCTGCCTTCCTCCCTACCTACTGCATAATGGCCAGATGTTTTCACCGAAGGAGTAATCATGACTCCAAGATCTCTGTCCTGGATAACCAGTTGGTTCAGCACCCATTGTTATATATGTGAGTTGAGAACCTAGCAGCTTGTATGTGAAGATGGGATTTTGCCCCACAATGTGCCCAAGTTTTACACTTCCATTTGCCACATTATTCATCATTCACCCAATTCAGCCTTTTAGATCACTCCACCGCACATCATATTTTCCAAACAAGGAGATGGCAAGCCAGTTCAGGAGCAGCATGCACTGATTTGACTTTGTTCCAAGTAAAGCCCACTCTCAACTGACTGCATGCCCAAGACACACACACATAGTAATCTGGGCCTCAGCAAGTGCCCAACATTGCTAACTGCTAGCACTGGCAGTGGCATTCACATAAAGCAACAGGCAGGCAATACTTCTGCCTTATCATTCTATCTGAACATACGTGTGAACTGTCCCCTGTTATTTCTTTCTATTCGCCATCCCCACCGCACAAACACAGCTGAAGTTAAACTGCATGCAGGATCTCCCCACAATGGTCCTTGGTGAGGAGAGCTGTGGGAAGGAGGAGAGGCAGCACAGAAGAGAGCAGGCACAAGACTAACTTCTCTCTGGCTATATTCATAGAATTGAACCTGAAAAGACCCAATGTGTTTACTCAGGGGTCATTTCCAGCAGGAGCGCACAGGTGCAGAGCTCCAGCAGTAAAGAGCCCAGGGGGCGGGCACATGCAACAAGCCCCACCCCCTGCTCCCAGCAGCCCTCAGTCAGAGCAAGAAGCAGCCAGGTACGTTGCAGAGCCTCCCCCCGGCCCCCCAGCCCAAAACCCTCCAGTGGCACCTTTAAGACCAAGTTTTATTCAGGTACAAGCTCTCCCTCCTCTGTGAGGGCAGATCTGCACGTTCTCTCCCCCCCCCCCCATAACTAGCAATCCAAGAGAGTCGGGTGAAGCCTGAGCGGGGGGGGTTGCCTTCTGACACTTCTAGTGATGTCAGGGGGGGTGGCATATGCAAATAAGTTATGCTAATGAGTTGTGCTAATGAGCTCCTGCCCCTCTTTTTCCACGAAATGACCCCTGTGTTTACTGTACAAAAAAGAGAGCCCTACACATGATTCACTTAACATTCAAGATTCAAGATAACTAATGACAGACAAAAGTAGCCTGGGCAACATGGAGAACTGTGAGTGTAAAAGGGTTTTAGAGAATAAAAAAGTAAAGTATTAAAATCAGATCCCGACTTGTATTCAGTCTGTCGACTACAAGTCTCATCCTCGCCCTCCACAGTGCCGTGCTCCATTCTGCTCTCATTATGGGTTTTCCTTCCACTATTCATGCCCTGTTAAACAGTTTCAGTTTAATTAATTATCCCACTGATATGAAATCACCAAAGGATCCTTCTTTTCTAGGTACATGCACACTCATTAACATCAAATTTAATAGATCATTAAAAAAGTGCCCACAAAATCTTTTCACAGATTTTTTTAAAAAAGAGAAGAGATGAAAATCAGTTAACTAACATAATAAAAGCACGTTTAGATATCACTGCTTCTGTCTCTATAGTAATTTTGCCCTTTTAAAAAAAATTAAGGTCTCATTAAAAGCTTCAGGGTCAGAATAGCACAAAATACAAATCTGCTTAAAATATATTAGAATATGCAAATGAAAGCCATTTTCTTAGAAGGTCACCATTAAGACTCACGATTTAGCTCTGAGACCGAACTTTAATTTTAACTGCAACAATAAGAAACGAATAACTATGGATAAAGATTTTTTTTTAAAGAATCATGAGTGACAGCTCTGTAAACTCAGACAAAAAAGCTCAGGAGGGTGCACCACAGGAGTTCTCTAAATGCTAGAGGCATGGAAAATATTCAGAAGATATGAACTGTCTAGAAAGTTGTAGAATATATTTTCTTGAAGGTTGGATGGGAGATCCATAATGTGTCCTGTATTAAGGCCTAAAGCACATGATCAGCCCTTGTATGATATATCTATTGCTAAACTATACAATTTCATAGTACAGAGAAGGAGGCATGTATTTGAATGCCCCCACTGCTCATTCAATGTATGGGAATATTCATGTACGACGTCAGCATTTTCCATGGTTAATACCTTGCTTCCCCCCCCCAAAAAATGAATCCTTTGCTTCTATTTTGTGAAGGATGGCTGCACACCAGTGAATACATTGTTCTGCTAATGCTTGCCAGCATGGATTTTCTTTCTTAGGGGTAACACACAATTTGCGGTCTTCCATTTCTTGTAACAACTTAAATCCTGAGCTGATGCATTAAGAAGTAAATTCACTGCTCCATATAAGCAAATTCTTTCTGAAAGACTTACTGGTATCATAAAACCAACAACTTAGTAGACTATTTAGTCTAATTTCCTAGCCTAAAAGCCAAACCACATGATCAGCAGATCATGAGATGTATCCATGGCTTAGATAGGACTACTTCAGACCAGAAGTAGGGGAACTGAATGTTCCATCAAGTAAAAATTTACCTGATCATATAAAATAAATATGTTTGAGGGAAAAGCTATGCTAGAAGCTTCCCTTCATGTCTGGCCTAAAAGTATTCCTTCAAGTGGTCATTGCTCAGAGCTGGGGACGCCAATTTCAATACTCTTAAATCATGGCTGTGGCCACTGTTGACCATCACAAGAACCCCAGCCCTTCCGATGTTCATAACCAGCATAATTGTTTTAAGAATACAGTTGTGCAAACAAAAGCATCCAAGCTCAATTACCTCCATGTAAGCTAAATACATGAGCCAACTTCAGAGGACGGCAGAAGACAGGAAGGCCTGGCGTGATCTGGTCCATGGGGTCGCAAAGAGTCGGACTTGACTGTGATGAACAACAACAAAAAGCTAAATACACCAGTAGTTACCTGTTCTTGCCTCTCCAGCCATTTATCTACCATGGGATGTGTGGCACTTAGTGATGAGCGAGCATTGTCCCTCTGAAACTGGTTAGATGACCAGCTGCTGGTGTCCCGAGGGAGGCTTCTATAATTTTCATCTTTCTGTTCCAAAACAAAGAAAGAGGTACTATAAGAACATAAGAACATAAGAGACGCCAATGTTGGATCAGGCCAAAGGCCCATCCAGTCCAACACTCTGTGTCACACAGTGGCCAGAAATACCAGTGCCATCAGGAGGTCCAGCAGTGGGGCCAGGACATTAGAAGCCCTCCCACTGTTGACCCCCCCCAAGCACCAAGAAGACAGAGCATCACTTGCCCCAGAGCCCCTAGCTATACCTTGTGGCTAATAGCCACTGATGGACCTCTGCTCCATATGCTTATCTAATTCCCTTTTGAAGCCGTCCATGCTTGTAGCACCCACCACTTCCTGTGGCAGTGAATTCCATGTGTTAATCACTCTTTGGGTGAAGAAGTACTTCCTTTTATCCGTTCTAACCCGACCGCTCTGCAGTTTCATGGAGTGCCCACGAGTTCTTGTATTGTGAGAAAGGGAGAAAAGTACCTCTTTCTTTACCTGCTCTTTCCCATGCATAATCTTATAAACCTCGATCATGTCACCCCTCAGTCGTCTTTTCTCCAAGCTAAAGAGCCCTAAGCGCTTTAACCTTTCCTCATAGGGAAAGTGTTCCAACCCTTTTATCATTCGAGTTGCCCTTTTCTGCACTTTTTCCAAAGCTATAATATCCTTTTTAAGGTGTGGTGCCCAGAACTGCACACAGTATTCCAAATGAGGTCTCACCATTGATTTATATAGGGGCATTATTATATTGGCTGATCTGTTTTCAATACCCTTCCTAATAATCCCCAGCATAGCATTGGCCTTCTTTATTGCAGTCACACACTGTCTCGACATTTTCAGTGAGTTATCCACTACAACTCCAAGATCTCTCTCTTGCTCAGTCTCTGCCAGTTCAGACCCCATCAATGTGTATTTATATTTAGGATTTTTGGCTCCAATGTGCATCACCTTGCACTTGGCCACATTGAACCCCATTTGCCATGTTGACGCCCACTTGCCCATCTTTGACAGATCCCTTTGGAGTGCCTCACAATCCTCACTGGTTTTCACCACCTTGAACAACTTTGTATCATCCGCAAATTTAGCCACTTCACTGCTTACTCCCATCTCCAAATCATTAATGAACAAGTTAAAAAGCAGTGGACCAAGTACTGATCCCTGTGGTACCCCACTGCTTACCACCCTCCACTGAGAAAATTGCCCACCTACACTCACTCTCTGTTTTCTATGAACTAGCCAGTTTTTGATCCATAAAAGGACTTGTCCTTTTATCCCATGATTTTTGAGCTTGCTTAGGAGCCTTTGATGAGGAACTTTATCAAAAGCTTTCTGGAAGTCAAGGTAAATAATATCTATTGGATCCCCCTTGTCCACATGTTTGTTCACCCCCTCAAAGAACACTAATAGGTTAGTGAGACAAGATCTTCCCTTACAGAACCCATGTTGAGTCTGCCTCAATAGGTTTTGTTCATCTATGTGCCTACTAATTCTTTCCTTAATAATGGTTTCCACCAATTTACCCGGTATCGACGTCAGACTGACTGGCCTGTAATTTCCCGGATCTCCTCTGGAACCCTTTTTAAAGATGGGAGTGACATTAGCTACCTTCCAATCCTCAGGAATGGAGGCAGATTTAAACTATCTTTTAGAAGGCAAGACATCTAAACTATCTTTTAGAAGGCAAGACACAAACATGCAGACGGTTGTTGCTCCTCTTCTTTTTAACAGATGATACAAAGGAGACAGTCTAGGAAGAAAAAATCATTCACAATTTAACTAAACAGCTTTGTTTACAGTTCCAGGGCCTTCGATCTGTATATGACACTAAGCTGTGTCTTCCAGGAACTGTTAAGATACTGAACATGAGTGTAGAAAATGCCACACTCATAAATTTCTAATTTGTAGTGGTTATATATGCCCAGAAGCTGCAGTGCTTTATCATTGTCAAGGCTGTCTGAAGTCAAACAAGGAAGAAGGCAGCTAAGTCAGGCAATTTATTTATCCTATCCTCCCTTCAGTTGGTTCAGGGCGGTCTGTATCTGTCTCCCTTTTTCCATTTTACCCTCACAAAGACCCTGCAAGGAAGGTTAGGCTGAGAGAGTATGACTGGCCCAAGGACACACAGTGGCAAAGGATTCAATAGAGAGGGGTTTTGAACCTGGGACTCCCACATATTAGTCCAGCTCTCTAACCACTATGATGTGCCAGCTCATGTTCAAGCAGATGTAAGAAGTCAGGTATTACTGCATGTTTAAGACAGCAGTACTCACTCCATAGCTCCCTATTTGCAATTACTATCAACCCAATTACTTCCAACACTGGCATGAAGTCCATACATTGGGGAGGCTCACAGTTTACCTATTCTTTGGCAACAGCTGTTTCAAGGTGGGAACAACCTATGAACCATAAGTCCCATTGAGTCAGGGCCTTGCACAGTTTCTGAAATATGGGGCAGGTGCCAAATTGAGTTAGAATGCTCATAAGAGCCACCAGCAGCGTGCCATAGAGCCACATGTGGCTCCCATGATCTAAAAGATGCTCAGAAAGGGGATCCCCTCCACCAATGTGGTAACTTTACAGGACCTGATGAAATGTTTACCAGCCCCTTGTGCCATTAGACGCCTACACTTAGCCTGTTGCAATGCCACATCCTTGGCAATGCAGAAACTCAGCAGACAGAAAGCAACTATGTCCCTCCCAAAGAAAGCTTCTACAGTCACATAGAGTAAGGCACTGCTAGAGTAACTGTTTTCTTACAGGAGGACTAGTACAACGTCTGTGGTATTGTGCTGTTCTCAGCAGTGGCATACACAAAGTACTGGCATAACAGCAAAAATCTGCATTAAGGAGCAACAACCTCCATCACCATGCTTGAGGCAGCCCTGTCACAAAGTTTGGCAGAGTGTTGAGATATGACATGGACACTTGGGAGACAATTTACCAACAAGGTAGTCTAAAGATGTTGCAGCCTACACACAGCAAGTTATACAATGCAGTCATAACATTTGACAGCAAACTTAACATTGACCAACAGTCTACCAGGCAACCTCGCCACATACAGCACACTGTTGTCACTACAGCAATACAATGGCTTTGCTCAGATGCTATGTAAGTGAGCCTGGGGGCTTCTTGGATTTACATGTTTCCCTTATCTTTCCTCCCACACACATAGCCATTACATTTATGGCACATTATATTTGCATCAAATCCAGCACACCAGAGTTGCACTTTCCATGAAACCAAGATTCTGGAGGTAAGCGCAAATCAGACTTTGCCAGTTTGGAGATAACATCTTTTTTTTGTAAAAGTGAAACTCATTTTTTGTGGCCTCTAGAGAAGACAGTAAGGAGTACGCAAGCCTCAGTATCATCCATGTACAGACCAACCACCGTTTGCCATTCCATCTGAGCTAAGCCAAGCACTTACATGTGGATCTCTACAGGCAATATACAAAGACAGCTGTGTTTATACCCTACCTAATACACATGTGGTTCCCTGCATCACCCTAAAGCTCAAGACCACTATAAATATAAAAACTGGCTTAAGATTTTATTAAAAGGCACAACAGGGGAACAACTGGCAAAGTCAAAAGTCACAGGAATCTCTGCCTCTCTAAAGTACAAAGGCAGCTGGCCTGGATTTTAATAGTCATCCAAAGGCCTTTGCTAGAAATGGCAGGTCACGTGCAGCAACCGCATATTGCTTCTCACTCCATTTCCTCTTTGTGTCAGAAACAGATTTGCAATTGCTAAGCGCCAAGAACAACTATTTAAATCATTTGAGGTGGTGCAATGCTAAAGCAAAATCACAGTTGGGAGGAGAAATATGACTTGACGTGAAGGAAAACCACTCTAAGCCATAAGTTATTGAGGCGACCTTGTCATATGACAGGCCTTTAGCTGTTCGGAATGAGCAGACGAGCATCCCTGTAAGAGAGGGCAATAAGAGGGGAGTTTGCATTCTCTCCCGTACCTTACTGTCACAGGTAACTCCCTTAATGTATGGAACAGCGATTACAATTTTCTAAGTATATTCTTAAACAGGATCACAGAATCCACCCGATGCAAAAATTGCTCTCCCTGCAGCCTCCATTAAAACTACTCCAAGCAGAGAACAAAAATAGAAACAGTTAACTCACATAGCTACCTAAGATCAACACGTAATTATGGACTACGGTCTACTCCTGCAGAACTTGCTGTATATATTTCTGTGTGAATACAGCAGCCAAGTTCTTAATGAGCTAGTGAATCTGTGTCTGGGCAACATACTAAAGGTGAGGCTCTCCATTACAAATGCTCCCTAAAAAAGAATCTGTTTACAGAGAAAGCCAACCCATCAGAGAATGGGGCTTTCCCCTAGCTTTCTCCTTGAAAGGTAGTTTTCCATGTGCAGGGACTTTTTAATACAAAGGACAACGATTATTAGTACCTCAATGAGAACTCAGACTTAATCCATACCAAGCCATCTGAAAATAAGTATTTCAGCACATGGGCCTCACAAAACCCTCCCAGCATTTACGAAATAAAATAGCTGCACTTACGAAAATTGGTTGGCTTGCCAGGGACTGATGCAGATATGTGAATTAAAACTAGCACTGAGGGAGCAGGAAGAGGCCACAGACCCATCCCATCCCCTCCCATTTCATCATCCCGTCCAATGCTCTATAGGGCCAGAGTTACATATAACTGCTGCCAACCTAGGTTATGTTGCTGTATACCAAAGAGGAAAAGTGGACTGTAAATACCAATTGCAAATTAGAACCCACTGATTAAATAAATTAGAGTGATGGGTGTTCGTGCTTCAAGGCTGCCCCACACAAAGCAGTCATGCTGCATTAAGTTTCAAAGAGCTCCCTTACAACACCACTTGTCACATTTCATTGGTTCGCTGAGCACAACAACTGCTACTTCTGGTTTTCCTTTTATTCCCTTGATTGAGAGAATTTTATTGACTTGCGGTGGTTGTGGTTGCTTAAATTTTGACTAATTTGTATTACTTTCCTTAGAATTTTAAGAGTTTTA